GTTTCAGTTTTAAAAGGCAAGATGTTACAGGAACATCAAACTTGTCAACTTATTGACCGCCTCCGTAGCCGAACGGTTACCATGCTGAATTGCCACGCAGAGGTCCCGACTAAAGTCCGAGGGTTCGATTCTCGGGCCGGGAGAAACATTTGTACGGCTTACATATATTTCTCGCGTGGATTTGGGAGTAATTTGTGGTTGTCTTGTCTACCTTTGTATGTGTCCATGGCACCCGATACAGAGTTTCGCAGAAATATTTGTAATGCCTACATTTGTTTCTATCGTGAGTTTGGGTGTAATTTGTGGTTGCCTATGTGTGTGTCCATGGCACCCGCGATACAGGGTTTCCCTAGTAAGAGGTATGAGTGTGTGCGTTATTTATTTATGCAGAAAAAATATATCTCAGGGTGACAGGCGCAGTGGCCATGGCAGTTCACTATCATAAAAAAATATATTTCTAACATTTGGCGGCAGTATTTACTATAGTCTTCTCTTGTACGCTTTACTTCATCGGCAAGTGCTATAGTGTTGTCCACTGGCACCAATACTAACAAAAAGTACATACCACATATAGACCTCACTACGTTGAAATTTCAAGGGTCAACCCTAACCAATAAGAACTGCTTCTAAATCATGGATAGTGACTTGAACGCGTCTAATTAGTCACTGATTTGAGTTAACCATTATAGACAATGTTTCTTGCCTGAAATCGAAGCGAATTCTTAGTCATGCCAATCGTCACTTTCAAATGAAAATAATTCTGCAGACAGCTATTTGACATAGTTCATCACGAGTTAACAATGCATTCTTTTGTTTAGTGTGAGATTGATACACCTGTACTTCACGTGACTACAAAAGATCAAATCCGAGTACATGCCCACTGCGCGCAGTGCGCAGGTTCTCGATCTAGACTATCTTTGCTGTATGAGTAGTAACTTGCAAACAAGTAAGATTTGTTGGGTGATAGTACAGCCTTAATTCAGGACGAGTAAATTTAAATAAGGACGCTACTCGACATCTTCCTTATAAACGTTTGTACACAAATTTTAATTCTTTTCACGCAAAGATAAAAAGTTCTTTGAAATAGCTGTGCAAATTTATTTTCACAAGTACAAAAATAATGGTTATATTGCATTTTCTTAAAAATCTTATAAAATTTCATTTACGAAAAACACGGTTTATGTTACCATCGTCTCCGTGGCCGAACGGTTACCGTGCTGGACTCCCACGCAGAGGTCCCAAGTTCGATTCACGGGCCTGCAGAAATATTTGTAATGCCTATATTTACTTCTCTCGTGAGTTTGGGTGTAATTTGTGGTTGCCTATGTGTGTGTCCATGGCACCCGCGATACAGGGTTTCCCTAGTGCGGGGCTATGATTGTGTACACGTTAAAAAAATCGTTTTCGCCTCATTTTTCAAAGGCAGAGTTATTGAAGTTTTTATTTTTTATTTTTTTTTTCTTTAGTCGGGGTAACAACAACCATCATAATAAAAGTATTCTTAAGTTACTGACATTGGCAATAGCCGGGTAGATTACAGTTATCCACTAATGCTCTTTTTATTTTTCGCGCACGTTTATTGCGTGGTGCCTTCGATATGTTTACCTTTCATTCACTTATTTAGGACTGAGTGAAATGACCTAGATGACGAAAAGACAAAAAAATAACTACAAACAAGGTTAACGAAGGGTCTCTAGAATATAGAATATATCACCATATCTCGTTAGGTTTTGATGTAGGTATGTAATAACATTTTTTCTCACAAACTTTTCCTTCAACAAGCCTATGATGAGAATCTCAATCAATCAGTCTACACTGCGCAAGAGTCTTTGACATCATAACAAAGTGTGACGTGTAACCATGTGTGAGAGATTGTCTAGCGCAATCACCTCGAATTAACATGTGTGCCTTGTTTTATTTTTAGCCATAGAGGCTTGGCCTTTGTCAATAAGTGTGTTAGATGATAAAGGCCTTTTTGTAACAACGTACGAAGGTATGGAATTTTTATTGAATTTTAAATATTTGCTTTCCCGCTGACGATATCGAGGGAGCCTTCACGCCTTGGAAATAATAGAAGTAAAAACTGGGATTATGAAAAAACTCATAAAATTATAGGAAACCAGGAAAGTGCAAGCTTGAAAGAATCTTAAGCATCCATGAAATGCATCTCCCAAAATTCAGTCCGATTGTCAACATTGTTAACAGGGCCATGGCAAGATGGAAAGATTGTCCCAGTCTTCCATTAAGTTTTCTTCCGTTATCATTCTTGTAATAATGTCCCTAGAACTAAAATTCATAGATAGATAAATAGATAGATAAACACTTTATTCACTAGTATGACACAGATACAGATTGAATACAACAGGAAATAAAACATTTTTGTCATAGCAGTGAAATGGCGCTGACTCAGCATACGCCTAAGTTCTCTAAGGCGCTAGTTTTTAGTCAGAACCAACGAGAGATATTAAATCTAGAAGTTATTTGAAATGAAAGATCTAATAAACGACTAGGAGGAAAATTGTTCATTAAAATAATAAATGTAATAAAGTGTGAATAGCGCATCCAAAGTAACCTATTCAATATTTACGTGCATGTGCGCATTTGAATATACATATAAGTGTAACTGTAAGGGAAAATAATGATTGTGAATATGTTTTGGTGTAATAAGTCAAAGTAAAAAATGTATATTTAGAAAGGCTGCGAAAAAGAGTACATAGGGATATGAAAACTAATATTAATATTAAAATTTCACCAATTAGACAGATTTTTGTAACGAGAGTAGGTGTTGCGGGTAAAGTGCTTTGAATTTGTGTTTGGATGACTCGTCACGTATAGATAAATTGGGGTTTTGTTTATCTAAATAAAAAGTATTTATATACAAAGGAAATACATAGTTCATTTATTTAGTTCATTATTTTCAGTTAGTTTATCTAAATAGCAGAAAAGTTTTCGAGTTACAGATACAAATCCGATCTCGCGCTGCGCTCTGGGATCTTGTGTCTTACCCTTTGGGTGGTTGCTTAGGCAGGTTTAGCTTTTGTTCTTTGATGGAAGTAGTTGCCAGCCCTCTAGCCACCGGAGGTGGTAAGGTGAATATGAACCAGAAATATGAAGATATAAAAACTGGGTTATTAGTCTTATATATTTTCTTATATATCTACCTAGATGTAGTATAACTACATATCTACCTAGATATAGTGTAAGTGTATAAGTCATTAATTATTAATGGAAGACGATGGATAAATGTTAGAGGATAATGACACACATCTTGGTAAAGTGTCAACCGCGGCGTATAGCTCTACAAGATTGACAATCTCCTAAAAACGGCCATGTAAACAATAACAAACATAAGCGAGAGTATGAAAACCCGAAACACTGATGCAAGTAGCGAAAGCACAAGTGGACTTTTTTCTTTCTTTTATACGTACACCTCCAAAGTGATCGGAGACGTTACTACTTTCCACTCTTTCATGCCAGTTCTCTCTGTTTGCCTTTCGCACTTTTATCCCTCATACAGTATTTTTCTTTCATTTTACCTTTCTTACGATAACGGGTGGGTTTCCCGCCTATCTTCTAACTACTATAATATTTTTTTTATATTTTACATGTATATTTGTCAGGGATGATGGGTAGGTCAATAATTGGTACCTTTTCGTATATCTTCTTTTGACTACGCTCGGTTCTTTTTCTATCATATTATACAATTGTTTTCTTCCTTCCACTTACAATTTCTATTTCTACAGGTTTTACTACTTTCTATTTCTTACGAACTATATTATACAATTCTAATTTTCTTTGGTTATCTAATTATTACGTTACACTAAAATATGTCATATATTTTGCTAACATAATTTTACATTTCTGTATTATTTCGCTTAATTACCTTACTTACTACAATTTTACAATAGTGCTTAAATTCGTTTCTTTGTTTACTATTCATTATTGTGCTAATGTTTTCGACCGTCATCTTGGAATCCATTATTTGCTCTAGATTATAAAGCTCGATTGCATGTATTGGGCACTCTGTGTGCGTGTGTGCGTTGTGCATTACTCTACTACAATGTGTGGGACAGTCTCTTTTGCGTTAGGCTCGCAAGAGCACGATGGACTCTCTTTACACCTGAAGCGGTTCAGATACTCTGAGAATCCACCGTGGCCCATCATCGTCACCTGGTTGGTTAAGAAATTAGGCTCCATCTTCCTAGTTATTGCGTACACTGCTACCGCATCCAGAAAAAAGATCTTTGTAATTCCTGCCGTTTCGCCGAGGCTGTGTCTGCGGTTCCATCCGTTTAGCGACCAAGCTCAATGCTCCGCTTGACGTGTAACACCGGGCGTTGTTCATAATCAGCTTTCATTTTCAATTTTAGAGCGGAGCACAAGTAGACTGGAGGGTATCTGGTGGAGAACTGTAGTGTACAGTCTGTTTCTTATGCCTCCGCTTTGTTTGCACCCGGTTCTGGTTTGTTAGGATAAATGTAATTCAAAGCTATTTTTAATTAAATGTACTGGTAGACTGTGCCTCGAGTCTAGTATGTAAACGCACCTCTGTTTTATTCTAAAGTAAACCTAGTGCGGCCTGCCTCTGCTGCTGCTGCCCTCGTATCTCTATTAAACGTGTAGGTGATATCTACGCCTAACTTGTTTTTCTAACATTGACGTAGAAAATGCACGTACAACAATTTGTTATAGGTAAACAACGATACAATTCTTGTCAATTATCAACCATGATCGACGCTGTACTCTGACGTTAGGCATTATATGTATGTTATATAAATTGGTACATGTATAGCTATTATCGTGTACATAAATATGTGGTTTATGTAATTCAATGTGGCGTGGGTGTATTTGCGTATTTTTTTCAGACAAAAATTTTACACGTAACTTTAAAAGCTACTAAAGTCAGTTGCAGGTTGTGAACCCTACTTGTGACGTCTACTTGAACAACAAACATGGAATCCTACGAGAACTGATGATGACACCGATTTCTTTTCTTTCAGACAATGCTAAAAGACCTAACCTCCATGGTCTTGCGACATACCCGCCCTTCTCGCCGCCATCTCACCCCCGAACTGATCCTCCGACTCATCACCCCCGAGTGCCCTCTCTGGAATGCTACTGAAGACCAGCTGCCTTTTAAGGATCCTTTTTGGGGCTTCTATTGGCCGGGCGGACAGGCTACAGCAAGGTAGTATAATACAATCTTAGTTATAGACATTTCATGTTCCTAGTGCGCCCTCAAATGAACGACGCCACCGCTGTATGTAGGCACGTCTACGACGCGCGTACTAATAGTATGATTGATTGTCTCTTTAATTGCGTGTGCAGACGCATTTAGTTTGTTTAAACCATTTACACTTAATTTATTTTTCACGTCTCTTGCTTGTAACGTTTAATAACCAATTTTTAATAACCTCCTTCAAAAAACGAGGAGGTTGTCAATTCCACTGTATTTTTTTGTGTGTGAATCGCGTAAGCGCGATTACTCCGGTAATTGTGGACCGATTTTGATGATTCTTTTTTTTGGAACGCACTTTCCGTTAACCGACTTAAATAAAACTTGGCCAATAGATGTAATTCCAATAAAAAATCCAATAAGCAAACTTTTGAGGTGGGTTTTTTTAAATAATAAAGTTAAAATTCTTAAAGATACTATTTATTGGCTTTGTGAAATTACCAACGGAAAAATCTTAAATGTATCGCTATATTTATAAAATAGTTAAATCATTTTGTCATCGTGTGCTGAATTTAAAAAAAGATTAAAATGACGCCTAAGCGAACCTTTGCAAATTTGTTGAATACGTAAATTCAAATACCCTGTCCGCGTAGTGAAAAAACGGTGATTAACCCTGTTGTAAAAACCCGTATAACAATTTAACTAAATACCTTGTTTAAATTCTTTGACCATCCTAAAATATTATACTACAAAAAGACCAGTTATAAAGAAGCATCGAGTATGTAACCAGAAATAGAGACGAAATAAGGGCTATCCATCATTGGCAAGTCATCTGGCAAATGGGCCTTATATCACTTTTAAATATCAACTCTCGTTTCCGCTGAAATCACAAATTAGAAAGCTGAAATAGTACAGCGCCAGCAACTGACCTGTGTGTACGTCTCCGTATATTCCAAAAAAATCTGTATTTATTGTAATAAAGATAATATCTCTAACAATTCCATTCGGTGGTGTGGGAAAACCAACAAAACAAACGGAATCACATTTCATCGGTTATTAAATATATAATTTTTCAATTTTCGTCCATTATAAAGCTCTAGTTAAACTGGATAATTTGAAGTGAAACAATTGACGACACCTGTCAAGTGTTTTGAACTCGGGCTGGCCAATCGGAACGCAGTTGTCACCGTTGATTCAGCAGAATAGTTTTCAAACAAATTAATTTACATTTCGTCTCTATTTCTGGTTATATACTTGATGTAAAGAAGCTATTATTCCGTTCACTTACTACTACACGTTCACGTACTACAATACAGATAAAGAAATAAAATGACCACCAAACAATGGCGATTATACACATAAAACTATTTAGCTACCATTTAACGATTGAATTAGTTGTTTTCCTAAACATTAATATGTAAACAGGAAACTGCAATCTTCGAAAACCCACTAACTGACCTTAGGTTTGCGCTTCGAATAAATAACACTTTGATAAAGTTGTATTATGTACAGTAGAGGAAAACTTAAGTGTTATCCTGTATTAACGTTAATAGATGTTAGGAACTTTGTGGTTATTTAAGATTATCACTTATAATAATAATAACCTTGTTATTTCTTGTACAAATGCAAAAAGCGGTACTGCTCAGTAGCGAAACGTATTGGTCGCAGATTGTTGAACCTGATTCCTTGACCGGCCGACTGTGCTATTGCCGAGTATAACTATAGCTGTTTTTTTAAGTAGAGATAACAAAACTGACAACTATTTACATAAATTTACACTTTGAAAAATTATGTTGCCATGTTTAGTGAGTGCTGAAACAGAATCAGTCAAAAAACCCGTTATCTTAGTCTGCACATATTCATACCATTTTTTGTTACCAAATTCTTGATTCTTTTGTAATTAACAACAACAAATTAATGATGTTTTTTTTTATACCAAGCGACGGGACCAACAAGTCGTGCACCTGCTGGTGAACGACATGCCTGTCCATAGCAGGTAGTGCCACTCAGAGCTTTAAATCGCATAGATCTGAGGGGCACTGCCTCTATGCCTGTTACCCAGGAGACATAACTTGAAAAGTCCCATGTGCCTGTAATTTCACCAGCACCCTTACCCTTCAAAACCCTTACATTACTGCTAGACTGCAGAAATAGGTAAGGTGGCAGTACTTTCCTGGACGAACTCTTTCACAAGGAGCTGGTCATCCTTTAAGGCACCATTATCTTTACTTAATCAAAAACGAGCAATTCAGTAAACGTCAAGTCTCTCATTAAAGAAACCCATGCACAAAGGACTTGAAGAATGAATAAATAGTATACGCTTTGTTAACATCGCAAACGTATATTTTTTCCAGAATCGTACAAAATAACACAACCCAATTTTAAAGTTAAACATACTTTGCATTTTACACTAGATTCAACACAAAACATTGTTAAGGAACCTACATGTGGGAGAAAGTTTAATTATCAACTGCACGCCTTTAAAGAATGTATGTACACACCTTTGAAGAGCGTGAATGGCCATCTTCATTGTTTGAATCCGCAAGCTGCATTCGGTCAGTGTCCGGATTGGCCAATTATGACATAAATCTTCGTCTTAGTTGAGATCCGTGCGCAACAGTACAGTTACAGTTCCAAAGCCAAATAAAAAACCACTTCAAATTTTTGGGAAAAAACCCAAAAATTTTGGAAAAACCCAACATCATGCAAAAATAGGGAAATCACTATTTAGAAAACCCATTCTAAACAAAATATTATCTTATCATTTAAAACAGACAACAACAAAATGTATATACATTTTCCAACAAGAAAGAGAGAGACAAACAACATGAGTCACACCATTCAGGACATCCTCATCGAGTTCATTATTTATCAAAGAAAAGAGATACCATAATTTTGTAACTTGTTAGAAAGGGAGGCAAGGCGGTGATTCACCAAAAGAATGTGTTTCAGTAGGATGAGTCATAATACGGATTCCAGGGAATGAAAGATTTAACTATCCTTTGGGATATTACCGAAAATTCGGGAACGAAACCAAAAAGGATGAGTCATCAAGTTTTGGAAGGCTTTGATTGAAAGGTTTACACTTCATAAAGTTACTCAAATTATTGTTTAAAGATCGAGTTATTAATTAGAAGGTTAGGTTTTAAGTAGAAATTACGCTTGCTATTTCTGCAGCGAGAGGCAATATTAAAACTGGCAAGTTCTTTTTAAATAAGGCGGCCTATAACATACTGAAACAGTTCGCCATTTTGCGAGCTACTGACCTTGTTATATGCCACCAATATCATGTGAACACTGAGTGTAATGTAATTTACACTATTGTGTGTTAGGCAAACGTCTATTATGCCTTCTACTTTATTCTCTATCAATAGGTAAATAAATATCAGGGATTAATAAGAGGGTGGTCTTTGGTTTTTTTACCGGTGATATCGAATTGTGATTTATTTTAATGAGATTGGAGTCTATGGCTGTGCCCTCAAAGATTAATTTGGTTTATTGCCTTCCAAATATGATGACTAAGTAACGTGGTCTTTATTCTACCGACGCGTGCTATTAAGACAATTTACAAACTGGGCCAGTTTCTCTAAGAGATGGTTTAGTAGCAGTAGAGCTCCTTGTGAAAGAGGTCGTCCAGAGAAGTCTGCCACCTTGCACGTTTAATGTAAGGTGGCAGACTTCTACCAGTAATGTGAGCATTACTGCGTTCCGGTTTGGAAGTGTAAGGGCGCTGGTGAAATGATAGGCACATGAGACTTGGCAACTTATGACTTAGGGTGTCGGGCGCAGTGGCTGTACCCCTCAGATCATTGCGATTTAAAGCTCTGGATGGCACTGCAACTGCTACGAACAGGCGGTCGCTTAGCACCAGGCGCACTTGCTTGTTCGTCCCGTCGCTTGGAAACATAAAAAAAAGTTTCAAGAACACAAATTATACTGGCGTGACACTACATTTATGCAATATGTAAATTGTGTTAAGAGAAATAATATTTTTTTCATGGAAAATAGTAATGATGCCACAAATACGAGAAACAAAAATAATCTGGCTGTTCTTGACTGTTGCCTTCACAAAGTCACAATTTCATTTAATGGTCAAGGTACTCATCTAAATATAATAAGATACCTGTTGGTATTTAAAATTTGTAATTTACGGGGCTTAACGCTATCGTGAAAGAAATATACAAAAGGTTATTATCACAGAAATCTAAATAGATAAATAGGCACGTTATTGTGTAGCATCTGTGTACTTCGATCTCAAATTGCTACTATCTACGACATTTGTAAATAAACGTAGTTTTTTGTAAGTAAATACTAAACGTAAACAAATATCTATTTACAATGAGCAGCCCCTACAGATTCTAGCTAATTCTTCTGAATGAAATCTGCTTTACGAATGAATAATATACTAGTGTCGAATATTTTGGCTATTTCTTTTCTTTGACTATGAAATACAGATATACCTATTTGGATTTAAAGTTGACATATTTTTTTACCACCTCATTGTGATAGATACAGGTATATCCTCTTGTGTATTAATATATTATATCAGTGTATTTTTCATGACATATATGAAAATGTTTTTTACTTTCAATTTCATTACATCATACAATCAATGTACAACTTTCGCGTTGTTATCAAAACAATCTTTTCACAACATTACGTAATAGGGGGTTGAAGACCTTCCCGAGGTCGAAACCTTGGCCTCTTACTCACGTTATGGCCTTGGTCCACACTCCAATTTGTGATTGATTAGGTAGCTTTGCGGTAGACTTGTACAATAGTCACCAGGTTTATTAAACGTATAAAAAATATATAGGTTGGAAATTGAAAGGGAGTTATTTATTTATTTTAATACCGTTAAAGAGCGTAAATATTTATTTAAAACTTCGTTAGTTAAGGCTATCCAGTTTTCTAAATGGAAGGCGCGCCGTCTATTTAACTGTGGCCACAAAATTACTTAAAAAAAATTAAATGTGATTTTCATATATCTACGAGAATTCCTTTACCTATATCTGAGATGACGGTTTTAGTAACACAAATTATTATTTTTTTAAATCCCTGATACAAAACAGTGTAGGTACCTTAAAAACTCAACGGTGACACCATTTGTAACCTAACAACAATACGTTTGGACCAATTTAGAATATAATAGAATATACATTTATTGCAAGGTCACAATGCATAGGTAAAAAAAAAAAAAAACAAAAAGTATAGATAACACTTAGATAAGCAAAATAATATAAATAGAATTAATAAACAAAATAAAAAATACAAAACACAACATAAAATAAGACAAAACAACAGAAAAAAAATAATATAAAGACTACAAATTTTGTGCCATCATTTCTGCGGTTGTGGCATAATTGACTGTGGCGCTAGTTACTTAATGAGCCCAAATACAGTAGTTCAAGAGTTGCTTAGTCAGCAGACTGTCCTGATTGCAGCATCAGTTCAAGTCATAGTATTATAATGTCATCGGATATTCATAGCATAGGAAACTTCAAGTCGATATGACAAGTGGAAGAAAAATAAATGTTCGTTTTATGACTGTGATTCCCTAAATCGTCGCGAGGGCAAAGGAGTAGTTATACCGGCTAAAACCCCACAGTGGCCATCTCGGGCGCTCTAGTGGGAGGGATCCGGGATCGATAATGCGCACCTACCGATGATCCCTACACTAAGGTAACTGGGCAAAGATCTTTAAACAGCTGAACAAATGTACATCAACATTCTTAGGTTTTCGCGGGTGTTTTTTCTAATAAAACCGACGTTTCGAGTTCTTTACAGGTCCCATGGTCACGGACCTACGCGATTTAAATCCGGAAAAATAATTTCATTTCCTAAATGTACATCAAACTAAAAACTATTCCGATTAAATTTGCCTTCTGTTAAAAACAACCTGTTTGAGATCCGTCCATCCGCTGGAAGTTTCACTGCCACAGACGAACATATGGACAGATGCACAAACTAAGGGTTAAAACTTATAAATCCCCTCTTTCTGTGTTGGGAGTTAAAAAAGCAAGAGATTAAGAAAGCAATGGCATTATGCTCCGACGGTAGACTACAACTGTAAAAAATTATTCCTGGAAACAATTTGTCTAGACAGTTGGAGGAGTTAATAAAAGGAAAAACTCTTTTGAATTCTACAAGACTAAGTAACCTGGTGTGATTTTGTCTACGAAATACCATTTGAAAGCCGCTAAAAATTCATCCAATCACATTTAAATTTGCTGACACCTAAACTCTTTTGTACGATAACCTAAGAAAGAACTGTGTGATGCTATTCATTCCATAAGGCAACCACAAAGGCCATAGAAAAAAATGTCTGTAGACACACATAGACGTAAAGGAACTCTACGTATACAAACATAACCCCAGTTAGGGGTAGTGCACCCTCCTCAAGGCCACAGACGGTCATCGGTCGATAGAGTAACGACCTTGAATCGTTACTCACTGTAGGTGAAATGGTTTGGCTTCTAACCTCACCCCAGTTGCCCATAGTTACCGATAGTCTTAATTCTCGATAACCAGCATGGTAATGAAATTTTATAACAATGTCATTGGTTAAAATTAATATAATCATAAAATATTCAAAGTATATCAGCTTATAAAACTGTAGTAAATGTGCAGCCGACCTGGGTGTATCCTGTGGCAAACGCTCTAAAGTTCATAAGGAATAAGGGAATGTACTCGACATGTACAATACTGGTTCGAACCAGTATTGTACATGCTTTTGTAGAGTCATCTTTATTGTAAAATCAATAACAAACCAAACAAACATATCGTTCTCAGATGGCTGCTTAGGCTGCTGTTTTATTATTTCTCGGAACAGCATCGATTCTAGTGTAACCCTCACCCCAACTGTTCACCCCCACTTTCACATTGTTTTACTAGGAAGGCTGGAAATTCTTGGAACGGAGATGACAACACTCACACCGCTTTTCTGATTTAGTGCCACTTTGCTTATTGGCTTGAATATTATGTAATTCCGTGGGAACGTTTACAGTGGATGAACTCTTGATGAATTATAACTGATAACATAAATAGGTCCAACTGCTGGACACGGTGTACCATCATGAGAAGGTGTATTGATTCCGCATTCCGACCCCTATACGTATTAGAGACGTGTTTATAAACTTCGGATATGCAATTTTCATAAGATCGGGGAGCGGGGGGCATCGTGGAATAAAGGGGCAAAGCGTAAATTTTTAGTTAACTCTATCACGTCGGAAAAAGAATTGTTTCCCTTCGAAACTTCTTCAGACACTCCAGATACACAACAATGTAGTAAATGAATATATTAGATTGGTTAAATTATTTATAGTTACGAACCCAAAACAAAGCAGCAGTCGAGCGTATGGATCTTTCGAGATGAGCCGAAACTGACCAAAGTGGCGCGCGTGCAAAGTGCCTATGAGCGGATGATTGCTTTTTTTTTTAGTAAAACTGGACACGTGGCTACTGTTGCTTGGGGGAATCGTTGTACCGTTAATAGTGATTAGTACACGACCATTTGCTTGCCGGAAGTTATTGACAAACTCCTTAAAAATAACCGTAAACGCCGCCGTATCATCTTGCACCACGAAAATGCCAGTTCTCACACGGCCAGACAGACAAATGAATTTTTGAAGGTGAACAACGTTGACCTTATGAGCCATCCCGCATACAGTCTCGACCTGGCACCTTGTGACTTTTATTTATTTCCAAAAATTAAGAACCAGTTACGCGATTTTCATCACCTGAAGTGGCAGTCGAAGCGTATGAAAAATATGTTTCAGAGATTGTCACGGAGGAGTGGCATAAATGTTTTGAAAATTGGTTCATTCGTATGAAAAATGCATTAACGCTAACGGAGAATATTTTGAGAAACAATAAATTCATTTCTGACTATTTTTAGTATTTTTTTCTTATTCATTCCGGAAACCTATAGTGCGCCGCACGTACACATAGGTATAGTTCACATGTAAGATCATACAATATCGTTTCGTCTGTATCCTTTTTTTGTACTTATATATAATTTCTGTCGCTCTTTTGTTTTATTTTTCTCTCTTACATTTGCCAGTGGACTTTCTGACACAGCATGACACATTTTAATTTCCCCAAAAAACTTAAAACTGGCACAAGGTATACAACGTCATGGATGAGAATTTATAGGAAACGTTTGAATTATCAAAATTATTGTAATTATGATCATATATATTATATTATTGTATTTATAAATCATTTTTGCACTATAATCTACACCTACTTAAGTTGTAGTGTTTTCTAACACAGATTTTAATATATCACATCGTACGCAATTAATAAGAATTAGGTATGTTAGTGTTAATTTATAGACGGACGGAAAAATGTATTTATTTTAGTTCGGTTATTTATTATCAATCATAAGAAAACTAAAATTAAAATTTGGCAAACACGCAACATTTCCACACTTCCACTAAGACTTCATTCATCATTTTCACAGAACCATGTCAGTACTCTAATTTTTCAACGAGCCTGACATTTCACGCTAACGGCACGATAATTTACTGGTCAAATAAAACAAAACTGCTCTGTATTCTTTGAATTCGCGTTGGGTTTCCCCCTTGGCCTTAAAATGAACCTAATTCGTATCTCTATTAGAAACTGATGTTAATTAAACAATTTACAAGCAATTTTAATATTCTGCACGTTTATTCACAGAAATTAGATAATGCAAAAAGTTTTAAATGATATGGGGCGCCATCTGTGGTTTCTCTTAATAAATACTTCTCTTAATTCGTCTGCTGAACAAGTTATTAACTACGTACTTTTATTTTATTTCTAGAGATGGCGTTGTTTGAATTAAAATGTTAAAATGTTCTACGGTAGCACAGATGTCGTTACTTGTATTTCTTTATTAATAAATGAAAATAGAAGAATAAAAATTTTAGTTTTCCTACATTTCAGATACATTTTAGATAATGGAGAAATAGTAAAAAATCGTCAAATTCTCGACTTAGGCTGTGGTTGTGGAGCTGGGGCAATAGCAGCGGCGAAAATGTGTGCCAAGAGAGTTTTAGCTAATGACATCGACTCTTGTAAGTTATATTCTATATCTGTTATTTTAAAGAAATAAATATAATTTACATTAAATTAAACATTATATTTGCAAGAATAATTGTAATTTTTAAAGGCATTGGCAAAAAGCTGGAGATGCCGGGGATCGAACCCGGGGCCTTTCACATGCAAAGCGAACGCTCTACCACTGAGCTACATCCCCTATTGGAGAGTTGAACCAAATTACCGTTTCGTTTCAGATGCCGTTACAGCTACTCAAATAAATGCTAAATTAAATGAAGCGAGTGTAAAAACAAGTACAAATAATATCATTGGAAATAATAATATAGATTTTGATACAATTCTAGTCGGCGATATGTTTTACGACGAGGAATTTGCCAATTTCTTATTCCAATGGCTTAGGAGACTAGCTTCTGAAGGAAAGGCAGTAAGTTAACATTATGTTGGTGTTGTTTAACTTTACGATCTAGTTAGTGTACAGAATAAAATGAAAAGTTACATTAATAATAAGGGGCATGAAATTGTTTGTAGTCGATACTTATTCGGAAAAACAGTGCATTTTATTGCCGCTTCTACGTTTTAGCCCTTTCCTCTTTACAAGAACCGTGTCCATTGGTGGGACGCGAACAATACTTATACTTAAGAGTCTATACAACCTCAAGATGACAATAATAATATTTGTTAGTGCATTGAGCCCAGCATTGATTTATCAATGATTTATAAATTTCTATTATGTGTTAATCATCCTAATTTTGCCGACCTGTCTCTAATCATTTCACGGAGTATAGTAATATTTACAATGACCTTTCCAGGTGTTAATCGGCGATCCAGGACGCCACGGGCTTACCGCCAAGCACCACCAACATATCTCACTCCTGGCTACATATAAACTACCTGAAGACAGTTGTTTAGAGAATCGAGGATTCAGTGATACCACGCTATGGATGGTTAACAGTTGAAAAATACAGCCAAGTTCAACGTCAAACTTTTGAGATTTTTCTAAAAATCAAACTCAAAATCAAAATAATCTTTATTTCATAGGTAAGCAGCAAGTACGCAGAAGTTGTATAAAACCTTTAAAGTTTTTGTTTCACTATAGTTTTAAACCTCGTGAATGGCAAATTTTGTATATCTACCGGAATCTTGTTATAGAAGAGTATACATTGCCCCTTAAATGAATTTGTCACCTTGTGAAGACGACTATCAAGAACAGCTAGTTTATTTTTATTCCTCGAATTAATGTTATGTCTGTCACTATTTTTCATAAAGAAATTACTATTCCTCTTAACATAAATTACATTTTCATAGATGTACTATGACGCTAGTATGAGAATATTAATTTCCTTAAACTTATCTCTCAATATATGTATACTCTGGGGCTCAGATTGTAAATTGCTCTAACCGCACGTTTCTGCAGGACAAAGATTCTATTGATATCGGCGGCATTACCCCAAAAAGCAAAACGTCGTCTGCCATTAGACTGTGTAAGTAGCTGAAGTAAACTAATCTAGCGGTTTCGACGTCTGAAAGTTTCCGTATTTTTTTAATCGCGTACACTGCTGTGCAGAGCTGAGCCGTTTTGATTACTACTATATGTGGACCCCATTGCAATTTAGCATATAGAAATACAACTGTATCCACAAGATTCAATTTTTCGTTTCTAACTACAATGTTTGTAACCGTCTCTCTAACATTGGGTAATGTATATTTCACACAATTTGCTTTTTTCTCATTAAGAAGCAGGTTATTAACAGCAAACCAATCAACTACTTTAGATATAGTATTGTTCACATCGTCATAGGAATATTGGTGCCTATAACTTTAAATAATAATGAAGTATCACCAGCAAACAATACTATCTCATGTTTTAAACCCTCCATGAGTCTAGGTAAGTCATTAATATAAACTAAAAACAAAAATGGACATAGAATTGAACCTTGAGGGACACCCATGCTTATTGCAGACCTTGATGATCTCGTACCGTTAACATCGACCATCTGAACTCTACCACTCAAATACGATTTAAGAAGGTCAAGGTCACATCCCACCACACCATAATGGAGAAGTTTCTTGACACAATCAAAAGCCTTGGAAGGGTCACAGAATACACCAAGAGCGTCATGTGAGTCTTCCGATGCAACAAATATATGTTTCATCAACTCAACACCAGCGTCGGTTGTAGAGCGACTCCGAGTGAAACCAAATTATTTAGGAGACATTAAGTTATTACTATAAAAATGTGCACACATCTGATTTAGAATCATTTTTTCAAAGATTTTAGTAAGTGTTGGTAGTATTGAAATAAATCTGAAATTGGTGGGATCTGACATACTACCAAATTTGAAAAGTGGAATAACTTTACTTTGCTTCATGAGGTCAGGAAACACCACCATCAACACATTTATTAAATACACAAAAAAAAGGCTAAGTAAGGCGCAATACAATCAACTATAGAACTAATTGCTTTGACTGAAAGACCGTCAAGGTCAACAGTATTTTTTATGTCTATAGACTTAAAGGCTTTAACAATATCGTTTGGAAATACATGGAATCTTAAATTAATAATACTAACTGCATTATTTTCTTTTAATAAGGATTCTTTAAAGTTTATCGTATTTTTAAGATAATAAGAACTAAATTCTTGTCTGTTGCTATTCGATGATAGAAGATAAAGAACTCCCAACATATTTACATATATTCTATAGATCGTAGGGACAATAATAAAAGTTCCCATACAAACGTTTTGTATAGAGAAGCACAAAACTTTCGATTTCAATTTTTATTCCTAAAGGGATCATCGTACAATTACTATATTATTATTCAATCACCAGCCGAAACACATACAGACATGTTTCACCCTTACTTTAACTTTTTTTCTATGATAGGCCAAAACTATGCCTACACTTACAATAGCCACAATTTTTGAGCAGGCAAGTATTGCAATGCATTGTGCAGGTAGATAAATTATCTGGGGGCCCGACAGTGCGCACGCCAAGACCGGTATTTTAAAAAATTGTAATTTACTGATTAAATTTAAAATAAAACAAAACTAATGTATCAAATATTATTTATTTCCAATTAAATCCTAAATATAAAATAATAATCAAGGCACAATTCATACTGATAATTCGTTGTTACAAGTCGTTGGTAATGCTTTACAATCACTTATCTTTATGTTATAATATAATTCTGTGGAACCCAGACATTTTGTTAGAATTTAATGCGCGTAAAGATTTTGTTGACACCCGCCAAGTTTGTTTTCTTATACTTTACGGAACAAATATTAATCTTAATGCATTCCTTTATTAGACATTGAACGTTCATTTTGTTCTACTTTTATTACAAATTGGGCGGCATACATTTTTACAATACATCAAAGTAATGTATACATATAACTAAACATTAGTTATAAAAATTAAGTAAGTTTACAAAACATTAAATAGCAACTATTTACAAAACTAATTACGGAATATGGTTTATAATATTAAAATACGTAAATGATTAAAAATCAGGTAGTACCTAATGATAATGAATAATTTGTCAGCGTAAAAATTATTAAAAAGGAGCTAATTTCTGTAATAAATTATTTCGCCGTTACATTAAGTGGTAATGTTATTAAAAAATACTTAATTTAATAAATGTACTTCACATTGTTTACTACATGTATATTTTTGAAGTTTTAATGACAAAGTAATGGATTACGGTAAATTTATAGAACAATCTTAAATAAAAATTTATAATACATGTTTAAAGTTAAATACAATTAAATTAAATTGGTTTTAAAGTACAGTACGTGAATACAATAATAATATTTGCAAAAATGAAATTAGGAATGGGTAATGTACAGTTTTAAATATTTATTGGCAAAAAAGGCAAGCTACTTTGTTAATTCCATCCTTCTACAACTTCTGAAAAATCAATTAAGTACCAACTGCAAAAATCGTAACTATTATAATGTTGTCGAAGAGCACAGAGCTTACAATTGGTAATTATGCATAGTATTGGCATAAATGCCGTGCTTTGACCTTGCAGTTCTTCCAGAATAGTGGGAGTAGGTGTCCATGTCAAGTGGAGCGTGAGGATGCATGATGAGCACCGGCTGCAGCGCCAGGGACTTGCGGGAGCCGGAGACTGACGTTGCGTCGGTTACATACGCGTTATTAACTTCACCTGGAATAAGAAAAAATTAACTCTGTAAACGAAAAAATATGGCGTTTTTCAAAGAAGATGACTTATTATAAACCTATAAATTGCCTTGTGACTTTTCAAATGAAGGATTTGTCATCGCCGAAAATCTACAATCTGATTTTCACTGCTGCTCAAGAAGGCGCCGATTGGCGGGACGGCAACAGCATGGCGAGGATCCTTCGGCATTCCTGCATGCAAGCGCACACTGACGGTAATTATATCGCGGTGTCCTTATGGCCCCCATGTACAGGACGATTTGTCTTCGAATCGATAGCGTATGTTTAGGTCGTTAACGATTAACTTGAACACCAAGAGCGTTAGCGACGGGCCAATACGGTTATTGTGACGATCCATCGAAACGAAGAATCGTCTGCATATGGAGGTCCTTAGGCACATCGTCGCGACGACATCGTGCTCGTGTTTAGCTTTTCTTCACTAGGAACGTTATTACCAGTTATATTTTTAAAATGGTGGTAATCTTGCTGAAGACGAAGAAGAAAACTATATTCCAAGAAGGAGAAAATTTTGGATAAATAACATTCGGAAACTTGCCGAAGCATCCTGAACGCTGCCGAGGCATTCCTGAAGCTGCTGGCCTGGTATCTCTAGCTTTTTGTAATAACGATCATTTTAACTGAAATCTCAACTATAAAATCATAACATTAAAGTATATTACTATTCGTTACTTAAAAATTCCCTGCCGAGTCAGCCGTCAGTGGGTGCTGGGCCTAAAATAGACATAACAACACATCTGTAGTTAACGGGTATTAAAGCAGCGGCAATATGTTTACTAAACGGAACAAGACTGGTTGACGATGCATTCGTGTTATCACGATTACACTACACGGCGCTAACACTAGCCTACTTATATGTTCTTCATACTTGCTATCAGCAAAAAAGGCGCACGCCGTCGTCGTGCGGAATCCGTCAAGTAAGTGTGTCGTGTACCCGTTAGCATATTCATGAAGTTGATACTTGTTTCTCGTGTGACTGCGGGCTATTCAACCGGTATGCGTTGAGGGATACATTGGGTGGAGTTGTGTTAATACATAGAATGAGTCAATAGGACATCAATGGATAATTTGATTTATGTGTTAATTTATGTAACCTGTATTCGAAGTCATTGTAGTGACATTTTTTTTGCGGAATTTATAATTTTAATATTCTGTTAATTATAGAAAAGGTTTTGGTTATAAATAAGTCATTCAATGGCAGTAACTCTTTTACAATATTTATGGTATTTCACATTCCATATTACTTTTCTTTTGTATTTAAAATGAGATTAATTTTCCGCAATTAGTAGAAAGTGAACATATGTACAAGGTTAACACACCAGAAAATACCTAGTCGTTCGGGTCTAAAAAATGTCTCCGTGTATCTTTGAGAAATACAGAACACATAAAAGAGATTCTAATTAAATTAGACATGTATGTAAATTATGTAAGTAAAAACAATGCCAAGTCCTTGTTACTTTTTAAAGTAAATATATTTTAAAAAGGAACGACGACTTGGCAGTTTTTTTACTTAAGTATTTTTATTTTTAGCAAAATTACTATTATACCACTAAATCAAACACGACAGTTACGAATTCACACAATCCAAAATATAATCCAAACAAATTAAAATGACGTAACAATGAGAGCACGTCACGTCCTGATTAGTGCGACACACGAGATGCGGTGTGCAAGCGCAAAAGCGAATGTTATTCGTCATGACATATTACAACTGCCCACTATGGCATGCGGGTTTAATGAGTTTCAAACTATTTTTTTCACCAGATGTCTGGTTGTCTGCAATGGATTACAAAAAGGGACGTCCTTATCATGTTTATTAGAAACTTCCCATACTTTCTTACAAAAAAGGACTATTATGTAAACAATTTCCCATGAAGAGTTCACCAGCTTTGTTAGGTTCTCAGAGCTTAAAGTAAATATGCCATCCCATAAACTACATTCACGAAAATAACCAATAAACAATAAAAGAGACGTGGCTTGAATTATTGAAGAATTAAAGAATGAACAGAGACCTCACGCGAGACCGAGGGCAGTATGCAGAATTATTGACTAACCTTCACAAGTTAGAAAGGCACTACAAGAAGAATAAAAAAGACAAAGTACCTTTATATAACGAAGGTGGCGGGTACCCACTGTCAGGCTGCAGCCTAACGTGTCGCGTGGCTAGTATGAAAGCTAGTGCGGCCAAGACGATACCGTCCAGGCAACCGATGATGGCCAGAAGATACGCCCAGCGGACATGGCATCGACCTGAAACGAAAAAACTGGAATGTTAAAACTTTGCAATACCACATTTAGCATTAGCAGCAATAGTTCTTCCAGGGAAATATTGTCACCTCATCTATTGCTGTTGCGATGTAACTTTCGTAGCGAATGTGAGCATTACTGCGTTCCCGCTTTGAAGGGTAAGATACTGGTGAAATTACAGGAACATGGGACTTGCCAACTTACAGCTCAAAGTGACGGGCACGGGCAGTGCCCCTCAGACCTTTACAATATAAAGCTCTTCAGGAGCATGACTCGTTCGTGCCGTCACTTAACACCATTAAAAAATAAGTTCAACGTAGTACAATCTATTAGTACTATCAAGTTTCCGGAATTAATAACAAAAAAATACTATAAATTTCTCAAATAATTCTCCGTTAGCGTTAATGCACTTTTTTATACGAATAAACCAATTTTGAAAACATTTATGCCAATCCTCCGCGACAATCTCTGAAACATATTTTTCATACTCTTCGACAGCCTCTTCGGGTGATGAAAATCGTAATTTATGGAAATAAATTTATTTATTTCATTAAGTCACAAGGTGCCAGGTTAGGACTATACGCGGGATGGTTCATAAGGTCAACGTTGTTCCCATTCAAAAATTCATTTATCTGTCTGGCCGTGTGATAACTGGCATTATCGTGGTGCAAGATGATACGGCGTTTACAGCTATTTTTAAGGAGTTTGTCAATAACTTCCAGCAAACAAATGGTCGTGTATCAATCACTATTCACGGTACAACTATTCTCCAAAGCAACAGTAGTCACGTGTCCAGTTTTATTAAAAAAAGAAGGAATCATCCGCATCCGCAAAGGCACTTTGCACGCGCGCCACTTTGGTTGGTTTCAGCTCATCTCCAAAGAACTATACGCTCGATTGCTGCTTTGTTTTGTTTTGGATCGTAACTATAAATCCGCGTTTCGTCACCTGTTACTATGTCCCACGCCGAATTTGACGCCCCTTCGTTGAATCTGGCAAGCATGGCATTGCACCAAGTGAAGCGATCCGTTTTTTGAGCCTCAGTCAAATCGAGAGCACACCTTTTTCACACCCAAATGTTTTTGTAGTATTGACTGTATTTGACTCATGCCTATGCCTAAAGATGCCCGAATGTCATGGTATGTCACATGCCTGTCTGTTTTGATCATACGGCGTACAGCATCGATGTTTTTGTTGTTCACAGCGGTGGCCTCACGAAATTCGTCACTGAGATTCACACGACCGCGTTTGAATTCTGCAAACCAGCTATAAATAGTCGTCTTGCATGGTGCTTCATCGCCAAAAGCAGTTTGAAGCCGAGCGAAGCTCCGCTGAGCTGTTAAATTACACTTAAAGTCGTAGAAAATCACACTAGGGAATTTTCACGAGTTAAATCCATGGTGATGTAGACAACCAATTTCTGAAATGACGCCACAATGTAAAAACAAGTGACAGTCAGATAAAACAAATTGTATTCTACAGTCAAAGAGTTCCATTTTCATATGTTGTAATTATTTTTAAATATTGTTTATGTAAGTGGCCAGTTCCGGAAACTTATAGTGCGCCCTATGTATTTGCAATCGACTCATCTGCCAGTTGTCACAAAACCAAAGTAAAACATTTGTCTTTTCTTGTTTTACTTTTTCACCGTCTTACCTTTTGAATTAAATAATACTTTTGATCCTATACGTTTAATAAAATGACACTCACCAATATTATATTGGTCGGCCATAGGACCGCAGGTCTCCTGCACCGCAGTCTCGTTCCATCCCGCTGGGTAGACTGCTACACCGGCCACCATGCTAACCGCTGTAAGAAAGAAATTGAAGTCATTAATAAAAAAGTTTATTTACACTACGAAAACTAAAAAGAAATATTAAAAAACTAATGAAAACCAAAATGTCCGTTACTTTTTTGTACATAAAGTATAAATTTTGAACGAGATAAAAAAGCAATTTGCTGAAACGAAAAATTAAAGAATTTGTGACGGTTTACAAAGCGATATAGCAACAAGACAATTGAAAATTATAAAATTTTTAGAAACAGCAAAAATTATATAAATATTTAATCTTGTATATAGTAAGGTACAACAAGTCCGCGGAGTCACGATCCTCAGCAGTGAGGAAGCGATCAAAAAAGTACTACAAACATTTATCTATCAAATAGTTTCCTTAACAATGTGCTTACTGCACATTGGTTACAACTTTGTCTCATGAAAGGTAAGAGTTCGAAGTGTATATTTCTATTGTTACCATTGGAAAATAATTTCTTACCCACACCATATAATATACATATACATTAACGCTATAATTGTTTAATTAAATATTTATTGATACAATGAAACGAAAAATAATAATGAGAACATTTTCTAATGCTGTTACGTACGCCAAGTATTATAATACTAAAAAAGTGTTCAAGTTTCTTATTTGTTTAGGTTTAGGTTCTCGGGGTTTCTCTCAGAGAAAAGTTGAAGTAACAGGTATCACGACTGTGGCATCACAGTACATTTGCTCAAATATTTTGTAAGCGCGTAAAAACATACATAATTTCATTAAGAAAGAAGATATCCATAATATTAACCTTAGAACTAAGTTCAAACTCGAGGTAACACAATTTCGTTTAACAAAGGTAAACGACTCTTTTATAGGGAACTGTATACGTTTTTATATCTTGTATAAGATTCCAGCGCATTAAATTTAAGATTTACATTAAAAGCATTTTAATTGAAAAGTCGTGTTACAAAATTGAAGACTACGTGTTAAATAAAGATATAATAGCCAAGGTATAGGACCAAGATTCCACACAAATTTGATTTAAAATGTATTTCATAGCATTTAAATTGATTTGAAAAGAGCAACCCCTAGAGTTTCTTGTTCGATCTTCTCGGGGAAGTCAGCACAAGGAACGAGCAGTGGCTTAAAAAATGACGTTTTCAAGTGTAAATTTATTTCACCTATGGCGTAAATGATTTTTTGACTTTGGCTTGACTTTGACCACACACTAGCGAATCTGAAAGGAAAAGTATATCCACGTATATATCCACGTCATTAACAATCAAAATCAAATAACACTGCTCAAATAATCTAAATAAGAAATAGAGTAATCTTCCTCAGACTGAGCTCATCATTTATTGGCCATTTCAAAGTGACATTTATTAACACAAAGTGGAATCAAGACGCTATAGTCATCGTATGTCGATCGACACTAAAGCAAATGACAAAAATCTGAATAACCGGAACGTCGAAAAAGAAAACGATATCATCGGTCAACAAAAAACCATCGCAGTGAATATCTCCACTTTAGGAGAAAGACGCTTAACAATGTCCGACGGTCCTCAAAAACATCCGAAATTCATAAAAGTAGATATCGGCGCCACGTATCACAAAAATTATTTAAGATACTTGAGCTGAACGTTAATGTAGTAAATGGAATTTGTATGGGGTCCTGACATTGTCAGTATCAGCGAAGTCCACGCATTCCAACCTTAAGGGTTCCTTTTGCATGCTGGTAGGGGCTGTCAGTCTACCCGCAGCTTGCTTGTTCTAGGTGGTAGCCAACAAGCTGCAATGTAATTATAGGCCAGATCATATTTTTATTCATATAAACAAAGACTTTTCACGACAAAAGTGGTCAACGAAATAAGGGACGGAAACAGATATAATATCGGCTTGCAAATAAAACTGTTATAGGACTGGGAAGACTTCAATTTTGTTGGTATAGTTGGCCCTCACTTATGTGTCCACTATTAATACTGAGCGCCATACAAATAGTTGATACTTAAGTGAGGGCACCGACTGTGCATGAAAGAAATAAGTATAGAGTGATAGCTCCGAAGGCCATGTTAGTAAGTTTTATTAGGTACTTTAATTAAATAGGAGAATTGATCAGAAACAATTTTTCTGACAGAAAGAAATTAAATGGAACTTGGCAACTTTTTTACATTATATATTTTATAATTTGTGTTTATTTGTATATGTATATATATATATATTTGTCACATCATTTTGGTCTAATGATTTGTTCTAGAAAATAATTATTTATCGCAATTTCATACTACCGCAATTATCAATAGGAAAGTCAAAGATCTGAGTCGGTGAGTGGTCGAACGATCGTCCACGGTCGGCCAACGTTAAGAAAGCTTTGATAATTTGAATTTCTCTCATTTGTCCGCTAATTAAGGGAAACTGCGACTGGTTTTCGAAATCAATGCACAAATTAGCTTACATTATAGTTATTACGCAAAACCGCCATCTTGGAAAATACATTGTTCTATCAACAACCAACTAAAAAAAAAACTGTGGGCCACAAACCATATAAATACTTGGACAGTTTTGACATACTTTGTCGTGATATGATGTTAATTGTTCTTAGGCAATAAAACTATTTTTTACGATCTAAAGTTTTCGTGCCATGAGGCCCATAGTCATGTCATGGTTAGTTATGGTCAAGATCCGTGAGCTGAGACAGCCGTGACCATAGGACCTGACAAAGGGCCCGAAACGTTAGTTTGTTTGAAAAAATAAGAAGAAATATAAGTTAGAAATAATTATAACTTATTATAAGAAAAAGACCTCAAAAGTTTGTTGAATTACATTTTTTTACAATTCACCAAGTTTTATTGAAATCGGTTGCCGGAAAGTGCGCGAAACCGGATTTCCCCTAGTTTGCCACCCTTAGAGGTGGAATATTTTCTTCAAATGGGATTTCTGCGAATGGGACCAATAATGAGAAAAAAAAAGAATCGTCGAAATCGGTTCACAAACGCCAGAGTAATCGCGTAACGTACCTACACACAAAAAAACAGACGAATTGACAGCATCACTCTTTTTTGAAGTCGGTTAAAAAATAGTTTCATTTCCTATGTGTAACAATCGCGAAAACCTAAGAACTTATTTGTTATTTTCTATTGTACAACATAATTATAATAATAATAAGAAGCCAGACTATATAAATGACCAGTTTTCAAAGTAGGAAGTTTACAATGAATACCAGAGCAACGACGTTACCCAGAACATCCAGACCAGAAACAATTTTAAAAAATTCGTTGCCAAAATTGTCTCTACCAAAACATAACCCGATACCTCCTCAATTGCCCACACCCTCCATCGCCCACAGAGATCGTCAAACATTTGTCATTTCATTATACTGTAAAAAATAAGTGATGGAAATAAACCAGATGTCGTTTAAAGTGATAATGTAACTTGTTTCCAACTGAGCCAATCAAGCATAATGGTTTCAACAGCAAGCACAAAGATTGCAACAAAAACTTTTACTAATTAATTCATTTAATAGTATACCCATATATTTAATTTTAAGTATTAAAGTCTACTTTGCGAGATTTGTATAGTGCGTGCTAAATTAAATTTATATATTTAATGTAATAATTTTTAACTGTATACTGTGAATTGTTTTAATTTATTTTTTATGTGATCTAAATCACACTATCCCAACGTGGCCCCTACCCTGGCCCCCCAGTAGGTGCTGAAGAGTCCTAGGAAGGCGGTGGAGCTGTCCAGGGGGTGCTACCGCATTTGATAATAAAAAACTGAATTATCTATATAACTTTTTAAAACATAATTTTTTCCTCAATATATTTTTGTGTTAAGTTAAAGTAAAAGATACGTGTTTTCAATTATTTTTTGTGGTGCTGGGCGCGGCGTTGACATTTTTTTGTCTTGCTTAGATAAGCCAAAAAAATATTAGAGTGCCAAAAAGTTTGAGAATCTATGATCATAACTTATATGTTTATGTTATTTATTGTTTTATTACCAATAAATATACAATAGGTAAAGTGATTTATTTTTTGATGAACCACAATAGGTAAATAAAAAACAAATCTTATTGATTTCTTTTTCGGTGACCTATTGTACTCGTATGGATTGTGATATTTCGAATAAATTATTTCATTTGATTGCGGTCTAAAGTCTAAGAGCGCGTTCCCACTATGTCGTCACGTTTTATTATCGTTGGACGACTGTCGTGTTTAGCCTGTTCCCATATCACGACTATCTGTCGTGGACGATTTTTTATCGTTGAACGACTGTCGTGACTAGCTGTTCCCACTAGATCGTGACAATTTATCGTTTCACGACAGCCTCCTTGTCGTTTGCACGACAGAATCGTTTGATGCACTGCAGTCGCTTGTATGTTCTTTTAGAAGCCGGTAGTGTGTGTTCGCTCCAAAGGGATGAAGACGAAATTTTAATAATGTGTTACTTTTTAAAAATGCGGAAGAGGAAGCAAACAAAGAAAAGAAAGTTTTGGGTACATCCAATGCTACTAAAAAGAATTCCATAATTCCATTAGGGTTATGTCAAAAGATATACGAAGTTGCTTTCTTTTCGGTATTGTCAAAACCTGCTACGACCAGAGATGGGCAATGGGTTAAATCCAATCGAACCCGCGTGTTTTCACCAGGGTTTTGCCAGAAGCGCCGAGTTTTAACCCATTTCTGCCCAAAATCGTGGGCAGAAACGAAGAGTACAGAATTTGGTATAATTCCAACACTAACAACGTAATATACAATAACTTGTAACAAATTTCTATATTTTTATTACACGAAGAAGAGGCATCTCCACATAATACCCACCACCTGTCGATCTTGTGGATTCTCAATGAAGATCGATTCAAGTGCATACGATCTAACGGTTTTTTGTATTAATTTATTGATGAACCTTTCAACCGAATCTATTCAATAGAAAGGTAAATCGAACTGTCCTGATAATAAAGCAACAAATATTTTGTAATAATATATATAATTAAATTTGAACAAAACTCAATTCACAACAAATATTTAGACGTAATTAGTT